ACATGGAGACACATAACGCACTTTGAAAAAATATGTATAAAACAAACAATTCTGGACTTAGATTTTAATAATAGACAGAATTAATTTCTTATATTTCTTCCGAAAAACTGATGAATTGATCTACCCTCATCGAGAACGAGGAAAAGACAGAAAGTCCCTCAGCCCAACTCTCTATCTTTCCTACACAAATATATGTATTTACATAACTGGTATGACATTGATATTATTTCTCTTAATCAATTTTAGTTAACGCAAAATAGATGAAAAAATTGAGATAAGCTTTCCTGAAAAAAAATTACGCGCCCTATTATATCAAAGAAGAGAGCCGCATAACCTTTATTCAAAATGTATCCACAATGATTCCTCAGAAAAAATGCATTTACATGGTAATTAAAACCTGCTATTAGACATGTCTAGAGTTTTTATGATATCAAATTACAGATTTATAAGGAATCTGACTGCATAACTTTTTGAGAAAAAGTTATTAGTGAACGAGGTAAAAATTTCAGTCGAGTGAGTAACGTGGCTAAGGGGTATTTTCTTACTATCAAATAAATGAGTCAACCATTGTTTCATATATGTTCACAATATAGATACATGTGTAGAGAAATGAATATGATAGAAAAATAGATGAGAGAGAGAGAGAGAATTTTCATGGTATGGAAAAATCATAATAGCTCCCTTTTGCCTAAGAAAATGCGATGCCTTAAGTCACTTATCGACACCTACTTCTACCGAACTTATTAGAGACTGGATAAAATTTAAAAAAGAAAAGAAGAAACGAATCTGTGCTATTAAACAATCATTTTTCCATTATTTCTAAGACCCGTTTCCCTTTTATAACAGTTACGAGAACCTTTGCAAAACAAGACAACTCCTAAAAATCTTTAAAACGTCTATATCTCAGACCCTGACGTCATCGCCGAAAAGTTATCCAACCACGTTCAAATAATTATTTATCATACCTAAAATTTGCAAGAAAATTGACCAATCAGTGAACTTTTTTTTTTTCAAAGTTCGTTAATATGGTCTATATTAACGCACTTTGAAAAGAAATATTTTTTTTTTTCAAAGTGCGTTAACGTGGTCCCAAAATTAACGAAGTGCGTAATTTTTTAAAGTGCGTTGTAACATGCCATCCTTCTGACCTTTGTAGGAAAATAGTTCTATCTTCATTTTACTTCCCCCTTAGAAATGGCTGCCCGGTGGGGAATGTGGATTATTTTGTTACCCAGAATTATTTACTGTTACGGTATGAAGTTATTTTGTTATTATTTTTTGATGATTTTTTTCTTATTTAGTTCTTACACTTACAATGTTCCATGAATCTCAGATATTGGTGTAAAACATTTATTAAATAACGAACCTGTGTTAAAAGTCAATGTAAAATTATTTTCCAATGTTGCATGTAATAACAGTTACCGGAAATCATATATTTCAGTAACGACTGCTATTAGGTTTATCATTTTTTTGCAAGTACGTTAAGATTAACGCAGAAAGTAAAAACAATATATATATATATATATATATATATATATATATATATATATATATATATATATATATATATATATATATATATATATATATATATAAACACTTTTGGATTGTTACATTTATGAGTTATTATATCTTGTGTTGCACTTAACTCAGAATGCACGTAATAACCCAAAATGTAACAATCGCTTTTTATCTCCACAATTTTTTTTTTTTGTAGAAAGTGGGAAATACGTATATTGCAATTAATAAAGTTTTCTTAATGCAAATTTGACGACCTGTCCAAAATATTCACACATTACCTCGATAAGCGTTCTGCATTGATCTCGATCCAAATATGTCATAATCCTTATGAGTTGATTTCTGATTTCACAGAATAATAATAATATTTTCGTTCTTTTGGAAGTTTTCTTGTGATCTTCTCGTAATCACGCCTCAAATATTTTGATACATTATTGTATGAATCGAAAAAATGTTTTTGAATTATAGGGAAATATAATTTTAAACAGTCATCAACATTTATATCTATATTTTGATATTAAATCCATGAAGAATGTCATTTCATTTTGCGTAAATCTAGACGTAAAATATAATACCGCAAAATGTCACATTTTTAAGAGTTCGTTATAATATTTTGCCTTATGGCATTTCGCGTCAAGCTCGATGTAAAATATCATAACGCGAAATGTAATAATCCAAAACAGTATTTGTACATTATATGCGTTATTTCATTTATTTTAATATCGACGCAAAATGTAACAACGTAAAATATAATAATCCAAGTTTATTACATTTTGCGTCCTTATTATGTTTTGATTGTAAAAATGCCTTGATATTTTGTCAAATGATGTAGCTAAAATTGTACAAAAAATGTAAAATGTATTTCTTTTAAGAAAGGGGATTCTCTGTCAAGCTTAATCAAACAAACATTTACATGTATTTTGAAACTGGCTGGGTTTTTTTTTTCTTTAACTGTGATGCAAATCAGTATCAAACTGAAACTAACATACGTATGTCCAAAACTTCTATACTTATTATTATTATTGAAAACACATACAATTTGATATATCATTCTAAATTGTTCTCCTCTCATGTTGTTAAAATGATATTTCAATTGCCAGTTTATAAAACAAATATTCAGTTTGAATTTATAAATGAATGACTTCTGAGTTAAGACTAGTATAAGTCCCGGGTCTAGTTAAGACAGAATATTCTTAAGTGATCTGGAGTTAAAGAGTGTTTTGTCACCAGCAAGGGAGGTCACAGCCTGAGAACTCCCTTTAGCTCGTACCACGGTAGAAACAGATAGCCATGAGTCCCTGCACAATGCGCACACCTTATTCAATTAATGTGTGTGCTACGCATGGATTAGGTCCGAAAAGTCCAGCACGCTGACACAAGATTAGAACAGGGAAGTCTGAACACTTAATCTTGCGCATTGACAAGAAGGGATGTCCACACACTTGTCAATGTAAATATGCCAAGTCAAGAGTAGGAATTACCCCACATTCTGTTAGTATTAAGCAGTGATGTCCAAACACTTGCATCTATCACTCGAAGTACAATAAAAACAAGATTTATCCGCACTCTTACACTTATCAATAACAGTATTGTGGAGGTTGACCTCTTGTCAGTGTAAACTCTGCGAAGAACACTATACGATTTGTAGTTTCTGTAAAGTGACAAATGACAGAAATTAAGAAAAAAACACTGAACTGGCAAATATCCTAGGGTTTTTTACTCCATTCTTTGTTGTATGTTTGCAAATAAAGAATTGAAGATAAAAAATACTCTTCTTTCCTTGTTGTAAGTATAATTCGGCTTAAAAAAAAAGATTTTGTGAATACTTTGTATCGCGTATATATACTCAATATACGTGTAACTTTTTAAAATAAATATAAGGTGTAATAATGACTTGGTGATCTACAGTATAAATATATACATGGCATCCATTCCAACACACGCGATTAAACCATGCCATCAATGTTATTTTATTTCATATAATCATGTGAATGATATGCTGAAAATGGAGTCATCGAGCCCTCATCTGGAGGTGAGGCCTGATTAGGAAAAAGTATGACACTCCTCGTTTCTGTGTAGATCCTCGAAGGTTTTTCTTCATAGAAAAGTCCTAATACTAGTACTATATTTTTCCATGTTATATATAATTCCAAAAAAATGTCTAAATTAGCCCAAATCTACGGAAGCCCATTTAGGATCTATCAAAATATATTTTTGAATTCGATATAACGAATTGTCAAATTTGTTATAACGAATTTAATTCGTTATAACAATTTCTTTGTATTCGTTATATCGAATTCAACAAATTTGTTATAACATATTGAAATCGTTATAAAGAATTAAACAAATTTGTTATAACAGATTGAATTCGTTATAACGAATTCAAAGAAATTGTTATAAGGAATTAAATTCGTTATAACAAAATTCAACAATTCGTTATATCGAATTCAAAAATATTTATTGATAGGTCCTAAATCGGCTTCCGTACAAATCATTTGCACATTAAAAAGTTAAATCTTTGTATCTTCGAGTATTTGACAAAATGGACATTGATTTGATACATCTTACTCTATTTGTTAACGGATTTGTTATTATAAAGTAGATTTTGCAAGACCTTTTAATCAAATTCTGCTCATTAGTAATGTTTGATTTTAGTTATTTTTGATCGATAAATATCTGTTTTCTTTTCCTTAAAATAGAAATCACAGCTTTTCGATCAAAATTTCTCAGAGTAGGATTTTACAAAAGTTTTGTTTTTTTTTTTTTTTTTAATTTTTTTTTATTTGCAAAAATGTCATATATGATTTGCAAATTATAAAATATATCGGTAATCTCATTTTTTTAAAAAGCAAAATCTTACTTTGATTTTTTTATGTTTATAAAAACGACTTTTGGAGCATCATGAGGGTTTTGTTTAGGTTTCATAAATTTCTTTTAAAGAACAGTTTTTAGAAATAAAAATTAGACTTGTTTACAATGAAAGATATGGAAATAACGAACAGTATTCAAGCCCAAAAGTCCATTAACCAATTAAAATAGGAGCAGTGCAAACACGGACCTCCAAACATCAGAGGTGGGATCAGGTGCCATGGAGGAGTTAGCAACCCCTGCCGACAGGTCACACCCGCCGTGTGCTCCCTTGATCGGGAAATGATGGAAAAATCCGTCGACAATTCAGTGTGTAAATAATCAATAAAAAAATTGTTGTCATGGAGATTTCCGTTTTCGTCAAACAGATCCTTTATATACAAAATTCCACTTTTTATCCAATCTGTGTAGAGTTTTATCATTAAATCGAATTATGTTGTTTAACTATATACTAGGTTGAAACAATATTTCAACATCGTTATCTCGAGCTCTCTGGTATTGTGTGTTTTATGTTTTCATTCGCTCAGTGTACTGAGTACTTCACAATAGAATATTCTCGAAATCTGATTATTGTTGTAAGTATTCTTTCATAATCAAAATACATATACGCGAGAATGGAATTTTGCGATCAGACAGTCTCGCGAATTTGTGAGAAAATAAAGTTCTTGCGAAGAATGAAAAAAAATTACATTTAGGTCATGTGATAGAGTTCGAGCAGGTTTTATTAGTTAGATTAGACATACGTCCGATATTCTATATGAAAGGTCTTTTTTCAGAAAGGAATATAACATAACTTATATAATTATTTCGTAATGCACGAACATGGACTCTTTAATATGAAGTAAATTACTAACATATTTGCAAAGGCCGGGAGCAAATTTTCCCAACAATAACCTCGAAAATAGGAATCTGCTTTTAGAGGTCTTATTTAAACCTTTTGAGGTTTTAGAATCTTAAGCAATTGTATTTTTTTGTTTTTTCTTTTCTGTGCCTAGTTCCGCTCGTACGGTCCGGATTCACAGAAGTGACGAGTAGCTCAATACATTTGTGGAAGTTCAGTTTGAATTCCATTCTGTGGCCAGGATACAGTATTGATGGAGACACAGATAACACAAATTATCAAAAATGTTCGATAACAGCTTTAAACCAGAAGGAAGCTTGGTTGAGAGTCGATTTAAAGGAGGTGTATAGTCTTCATTCTGTCAAAATATGGTACAGACAAGAAAGTAATAATTTATTTATTGTACATCTTATTCCATATTTCATTTTGTCTCGATACTTACTCATTAGTATTCATAAAAGCCGCAAAAAACCCCTAGAAGGTATTAAGTCAGAGAAGTCATAATTTTGAAAGACTTACACAAGTTTTATTCTCGTGCCTTGTTCAAACTTCACATAATCGGTTCAAAAATCTTGCATATGAATTTTTCACTTCTTCTAAACAGTTGTTGAAAGAAGACAAGTTTAAATCCGTTAGAAATACTTTTTTCAACCAAATTTAAGATTCTAACTTTCGGTTTTGATTGTTTATTTGACTCGTTCCATGCAAGATCTGTCAAAAACACAATCAATAGATTTTCATTAAAATTGAGGAATCTTGGGGCAATAGAGGATCGATTAAATTTTTCAAATCAAGCACGAGGTGTTCCATTTAGATCAAAGGTGTGAGCATGCGTAGCGTGATTCCTTTGTCGTTAGCTATCTTTAGATTTCTAGATTTTGGACTTTCATATCAAATCCCAAAAGAGGGACCAAACCCTTTCTATTTTAAAACTTCATGAAAAGCCCAACCAACATTTGAAAAAAAAAGAAAAGAGTATTCTTGTAGAGCTGTATGCTTCAGCTTGCAGTAATTTTATATTCGTCGGAATTGAATTATTTGTGGCACTTTCTTTTTCTTTGTGCTGCATTCAATCTCGCAGAATTTATACGTTTGCATGTTTTTATATAAGGAAGCAAACATATGTCATAGAATGTTTAGTCAAAGCTTTACTTTCAACGCCATGCATAATGATGCAAAGCAAATAAATCTGCAGCACCATGGAGACTAAGAGGGTTTTCAATCAGAGTAAGCAACTCAACTGAGAGCTTCCCACGTGACATTTGCTATCAACATCCGGGTATTTTAGATCCAGAAACTATCTTACAAGAAACCTGCAAAGAAATATCTCAATACGTATGGATTTACAACAACCAATCAAATGATAGCGATGGTGTCATATTAGAAGTTTGTGAAATTCAGATATATGGTAAATATTCAAAATGAGATAACATTTATCCACTGTCAATGACAATATGGTGTAATAGAGCTTTGTATTTTGTAATTTGGTGAAAATATTTGAATTTTTTTTATCATTTTAATGTATTCAGTCATTATATAATACTCAACATAGATAACCTCAGATGCATACTAGTAACCCTTCAATGAAAAAAAAAAAATACTAGGCCCATAAATCAGCAAATTTGTTCTAATATCATAATTGCTCTTTATCTTAAAGCATTCTGGTAATTCTTTTCAGGATGCCCAACTGGAACATTTGGAACAAACTGTTCTCAGAACTGTAGCCATTGTAAGAACACATTGACCTGTGACGTAGAGACAGGGGCATGTGACAATGATGGGTGTGCTCGAGAGGGATTTGAAGGATCTCTGTGTAAAGGTATTTTAAAGAAGAAAACAATTATACTCTGAAATAGCGTCAGAGATAAGTAAATTTATTAAGAAATACCATATTATTAAAAATTCTTCATTGATAAAATATACCAAAAAGGCAAATTTGTTCTAATATCATTATTGCTCTTTATCTTAAAGCATTCTGGCAATTCTATTTAGGATGCCCAACTGGAACATTTGGAACAAACTGTTCTCAGAACTGTAGCCATTGTAAGAACACATTGACCTGTGACGTAGAGACAGGGGCATGTGACAATGATGGGTGTGCTCGAGAGGGATTTGAAGGATCTCTGTGTAAAGGTATTTTAAAGAAGAAAACAATTATACTCTGAAATAGCGTCAGAGATAAGTAAATTTATTAAGAAATACCATGTTATTAAAAATTCTTCATTGATAAAATATACCAAATAGGCAGAAAGCGAGTGGTGTTGTCATTTAGTTTTTGCTTTTGGAAGCTAACCAAAAAAAGATTATACATTTGTGTAGAGTAGTAAATTAAAAAAAATGTAATTATTCAAACCAGTACTGTACAACGTTGTACAAAGTAAAAGAATTTCATGATAAATTATACACTGTATGCTTTTACAACGCAATGAATGCAGTCTTGAGTTAGTAGGTTCTGGTGAAACTATAACTTTTAAGTCAGGTCGTCCCATGATCTTTTGAAGAAAAAAATATGTCCGTCCAAAAATTTTCATATGAACTTGAAAAACGATGTCCTAAAAGCTAACCAGGAACACCTTTCCGAAATCCTTATCTGATTAAATCTCTTTTTATGAGAAAAGAGTCGCCAGTGTGGTGCAGTGGTAGAGTCGCGGTGTAAGGAGTTGATCCTTACGTCGCGGGTTCGAATCCCACTGCAGGATGTGGAGACCGGTCCTTCAAATGAGACGGTATAAACCAAGTTCCCTTGTCGCAGTAGGTGCTGCCACGAAAAAGATCCCTCACTGCTCAATGTCCCTGAGTGCCGAGTATAGGTCTAAATTTGCAGCCCTCCACTGGCAAGTGGTGGTGTCTCCATATGAGTGAAAAATTCTCGAGAGGGACGTTAAAACAACAAACAAAATATAAGAAAAGAAGAAAAGGAGAGGGCTTAAATTTTTTTTCTCAAAGAGAACTTGAAGCAAAAACATATTCTTTACTCGAATCATAGAAACATCGCACAAATGACTGGAGAGACATCATACAAATGTATAGAGATACATCGTACCAATGTCTAGAGAACAATGGTTAAGATTAGGAATAATTTCCATTAATTTAATTCCATATCAAAGCCCTAAATGGTTCACATGTATCTTAACCAAAGCTAGGTACTTGGTTTATTAGTTATGTAACAAATTAAGTATATTATCATGTTAGAAATAGATATATACATGTACCTACCAAGGAAAGATAGAACAGTTATTAAGGCTGTTTCAATTCTTAAGTACAATCCGATTATATTTTATGACTAACGAATAGAAATTTTGTAAGACTGTAGTACATTGTATGCTTTTTTTCATTGAATACAATGCATTATCTCGTATGTTTTATTGGTTTGCAGTTTAAATGGGTCCTTGTTTTACGCCTTGTTCACAGATTTGAACTGTTTGTAGATTTTGTTTTAGATCGATGAATGTGCGTTATCTTCATCTTTTTCATACATAAGATGATAGTGCTATTTCAGTCTTATATGTGGGTTAAAGGAGCGACATCTCTGATTATAGATTATACCACTCTTCCTACTTTTTCTTAAGCATTTCATTCGAAAGTTTTAACCTAAAAGAACTTGGAAAGATGATATCAAGATAAGCTTATTTTTTTTACTCAAGAAATATTATAATTTAGTCCATATGGAGATACGTGCAGTTTCGTATTCATACACCAAGGCAAGTAATTACCTTTCATCATTTAAGGTAGTCCGATCCTCAGGTTCTGAAAGTCAGGCTTTGAGTAATTGAAAATACTCACAAATTGTCTCTGAATTCTCCAAGTAATGTGTACCGTTCACGGTAGCCCAGTCGGTAGAGCGCTCGCTCCGTGATCGGGAGGTCGTGAGTTCGAATCTCGGCCGCGACTGACCTAAGTCGATAAAAAATGGGTATCAACTGTTCCTTTGCCATGCGCTCTGCAGTTTGAAGTGAAAGTTGCGGGTCCTTTGGATGAGACCTTAAAAACCGAGGCCCCGTGTCACGGCAGGCGTTGGCACGATAAAGATCCCTCACTGCTCAATGGCCCTGAGTGCCGTGTAAAGGTCAAAAATTTGAAGCCCTTCACCGGTATATGGTGACGTCTTTATATGAGTGAAAAATTCTCGAATGGGACGTTAAACAACATCCAATCAATCAATCAATCCAAGTAATGTGTATATTTGCCCATTTGAATTCTTCAGACTTCATCATTAATCATAATATATAGGAAAAATTATCAAATCTCAAATAAATTTTCAGTAAATGCGAATAAAAATAATAGTAAAGAATAAAAATAAAAAATTACATTTTTTATCTACTCTATTATGAAGTATTTTAATGAAGTATAAAACATATGAATCAATAATTGAACTATTGCTTTTCTAGCCTGCAAACCAGGTCAATATGGGGAAAACTGTTCTTTAAAATGTGGAAATTGCAATTATAACGATACTTGTGACAGAATAACAGGGCAATGCGAAACGTGTGCACCGGGATGGAAGAAAACTAAGAATTGCGATCAAGGTGAGTTAAAAATAGGAATACCGAGAAAAAATGCCGGTACTCGTTAGAGAGCCTTAGTATAATAACTTCTTCTCTAAACAGTGGCAATAATGTACCTTTGACATTTTTCAAACTCTTCCATCCCTTGTCAATATGTGGAAAGCTAGGTTTTGCATATTAGTCTTGTTCTGTTAAGACAGCAATCTAATGATTATTTTCAGAGAGTTTTATTAAAATAGGACTTTGCTCTTTCCTGCTTTGTGCTGATGAAATATGCTATGTATGGATTGTAAAGAACACGATTTACAAAATTGATTTAAAATTCAGAATGTGACAGTGGGTATTTTGGACCCCAATGCACCAACTCGTGCAAAATTAATTGCAATGAAAACATCTGCGATCCTGTTGATGGACGTTGTTTAGAAGGATGTCGTCCCGGTTGGCAAGCACCACATTGCAATGAAAGTAAGTATAAAACTTTAACTATGGACTATTTTGATTTTTAGTCGAACGTCGCCATAGCAGGCATCGTAAATATGAAAGCATAATGTTTATATTTTGTGAAAGTGGAACACTTAAAATAAAACGACATTTAGACAGTATATCCCCATGTCAAAAAAGACACTCTTGTAAATCCAAATATTTGTTCTTTCAAAAAATAAATCGGTTTCAAAATTATTGTAAATTGTAAACTGTTGATATCTCCCCGAGATATTGAATGATTCTTAGATTTTTCCTTGCATTTGTCAAGGTCTTATGTAGAAGCTTCATTTTTTTTTTCAGCTTGCCCAGATGATCGGTATGGTCGAAACTGTGAATACAGTTGCAGTAGGTATTGCTACAATGCGACCGTGTGCGACAAGCAGACTGGACACTGCCCAGAGGGATGTATTGAGGGATATCAGGCACCAACCTGCAAGCAATGTACTTACTTCAAAATTTATAGTTTCTTTGTCCGTCATCTATATCTTCTATGTTTTGCAATTAACAATTACAAATACAAATTAAGTTTTGAATTTTCATTACACAGATGTGTCGAGGAGTGGCTTTGACAAAACGTCTCTTGGAGTGGGATTTGGCGCTGGTTCGCTAGTAGCTGTCCTCTTAATTGTTGTGATTTGCATACCTATATGCCTTTGGCATCGACTAAAAAGGTATGCTTATTAAAGATGTGTTTCAAAGAAAATGTAATGGAGAGAGAGAGGGAGAGAGAGAGAGAGTTCCTGTCTTTGCTTCTTTCAGTAATGCATAGGCTACAATTTAGACTTCAGCATTATCGTTATCCATGTCCTTTACTCCTGTATGCTATTATTTTTTAAAATTTCAATAAAAAATTTACAGAAAAAGAAAGCGAGATCTTAACGCAAAATATGAAAAGCCTCAAGAGTTTATGCAGTCCCCTCAAGAGATTTCTCAAGGATCCAAACCAATGGCCGTAAAACAGATCTCCCATTACTATACAAAGAAAACAGAAGAAGAGGTCAGCATTGCCTCTTAACTATATGAAGAAGTTGTATGAACTACGTGCAACTTAATGTATGTAAATCGGTGCTAATAATAATGTAAAATGATTGTCAAGGAAGACTGCTATGAAAAGTTTGGATGTATTTCCTCTGTAACTGGCAAAAAAGATATTTAGTAAAGAACTCATAAAAAGAAAACAAACTATGGAATATTTTTATAGGCATCTGATCCCATCTCTGGAATCTCCAGGGGTCTTTGTCTTATGCCCTGCTCACAGATTTGTATTGTTTGTAGATTTTTTTTGTTTTGTTTTTTTTTATCGATCACTGTCCGTTATCTTCACCTATTTCATTATGTTTTTCTGATTGCCAAGGTTACTAAAATCGTTTGGAAGTGATCCCACAGATTTATTTTAAAGTAAATTCTATAAGCTTAGGGTAAAAATGTGCATCAATTTCAATATTCAAAGAATTCCTGAATAAGGACTATGCATACTTTGCATAATACTATGCATAACATCAATTGAAGCTAAACTATATATGACATGAAAAGTTCCTAACAATGTTTATTTGTGTGCAGACGAATGCTTCCTAGACATAGTTTTAATACAGGGTCATCATATTGTAAGTATGTCCGAATATTGATGTCTTTTTCAGTCTCATGATTTTTGTTTTCATTTTAAATTGCGTGTACTGTTCCAACCATGTTCATGGCTATATTTTTATATACATAAGAACATCCTTTACATTAATTTAATGCATGTATCCACATTAGACAAAGCAAAGCACTAGTGTTTTTTTGATTAACGACTAAAAATACTGCTCTCGAGATTTATAGTCGTATTACAATTTTCAATATTATTAGTTGTGTTGGAGAGAGAGAGAGAGAGAGAGAGAGAGAGAGAGAGAGAGAGAGAGTCTGTAACTAACACGCAATCAGGGATGGGGTAACGGTAATGTGTAATGGTAATTGAAGTAATTAATTACAATTATAAGAAATAAATATGAAAGGTGTTTAAACCCACCACTGTACAAGAGCCCCCTAGAGTCTGAAATCATGATGTTCTTTATTGAGGAGATCAGTGTGTGAAGTATTTGTTTTCTGTGCATTGTTGACAATTTTGAAACTGTTCGGTTACTTATGACTAGCTCTTTGACACAAACTTTGACATTTGAAATTCAATTTGAGTGACGGACAAGCAGGCGAAATCATATACATGTAAAACATTATACAATTGGAAAAAGAATTGATAAACTTGAATTTAAACAGATTACATGTTCATGTATCTGTGAGCTTGGCATTGAAATACATGTATACTTCTGATGAATTTGTCTCATAATGGAACATTCAAATGTTATACATTGTAGATAAAAAATAAAATTGTAGATGAGATTTATTTGGCCCCAAATATATATATTTATATACACTGAAGAGGCAAATACCCTGAATAAGTATTGTCAACTTGGTCAAGCATTTTTCTCATTTAGACCCTGAATAACATTCAAGATCAAATGTCAAGGTCAAAAACAAAATTTACTTAAATATGGATTATAAATACTGTAACTATTGTGAATTCATATACATGTTGTATAAGAAGGAATTTGAAGGAATATGTGTGTGTTAACTGCAATAATTATTGCTGTCAATCTATCTGACTATGAAGATTTATGAAAATGTTTTCTGTTAAACATAAATTGAATAAATTCCCAATCATAAAAATATGGTTATTGAAATACATCTGTATGACACTGAACTGACTATAAACTAAGAACAAAGTGAAGTAAAATAAGAAAAATTAACATTTTGAATATCTTGATTTTTATTTAGCAAACATGATGAAGTTTTTGCATGTTTGTAAAACATTCACATTCAAACAATGATGAACCGGACATCTCAAACAAGAATAACTTTAAAAAATGAATATTAAACAAATTTTAATCATACATTTAAATAATTTTTACATGTTTAATAAATAAAAGTCAAGATATTCTAAATGTCTGTTCTCGGTTTATGGTCTTGTCATATCTTCTTTCTGGATTTACATCAGTATGAATAAAATCTAATATAGGCCCAGTTAGGTCTATGTATTATTTTTCATGGCGCTCAGTATACAGTTTAGGGAAAAATAAAGTTTGCATAAATTTTACATGAAACATATAACTGTTAAAACATCCAACATATCCTCCTTTTTTCATTATTTAGTATGTGTAGAGAAATTGTATTTTCAACGGGTACGGTTATTATACAGTGTTGTACCTTCCCCGCATGAAGGTATAGACATTCATAGTCTGATTCTCATAATTAAAGAGCTTAAATTTTGGTCGTTTAGTCTACTTATTAATTATCATAACATTAGAAAAGTATCTGAAGTCTTAGTTGTAGTTTTCCCCCCTTTTTCCATGATATCCCCTCTCTAACTTTAACCCCATTTATTTATCAAAGTGTATAAATTTGAAAAGAAATATCAAATACAGTGACGTCTCTCAATCATTGTTAGTATGTGAAATTAAAACAAAATAAACATGATAAAGTCTGATTATAATTTTTTCTTTAATTTTTTTGAAAGCTTACTTTCTTAACATGTTCGATAGATCAGTACTTGCCTATGTTTTATCACAATCCCCTTGTTTACATTTTTTTGACTGGGTACTCGAAAATTAATTCGTGCGGGATGTTGCGATTATTTTTTCTCACTAAAACATATAAAATAAAATACATAATTATATATGATGGTCATTTTATTATTTTTTATCGTTTTGTCAAATTAACTCCTAAATATTAAAAAACTGAAAGTAGCAGGATACAATAGGATAGGATTAGACTGAAATCACAGGATAGGATTGTGGATGCAGGATTCACGATAGGATAGGATACTAGGATTGTCAACTTATAGGATAGCAGCACTGTAATTAGTATATACAGTGATTTTGAGAATACCATTGTCCATATCCCAGGCAAGTTAAATTTACGTACAGTAAATATGCATTCAGATACATGTACAGTAACCAATGGTATGCCAAAGTACCAATCTGATTAAACTCAGATCCTCGATGCTCCTTTTTAACGATATGTCGCTTACGCGCCTCGTAAGCGACATATCGTTAAAAAATGGAGCATCGAGGATCTGATTTTAATCAGATTGACCAAAGTACATGAATGTGCCCGAGTAAGCCCTTTTATTATTCAACGAAAAATACAATGTTTCATGAGACAGTTTGCAGTTGTTCTTGTTTATTTATGAACGCCATACTATAGCTACCGCCATACAATAGAATCGCAATGCTTAATCTGGATAAGAGAACTCGCAGCATTTTTCTACAAAGAAAAAATAATATACACAGACATGTACAAATATGCCAGTGTATGTTATATAATTATAATATTGATGAAAGTTTATTTGCTTTTGATGGATTTTCACAATTCACGTGCACAGTCAGTGTCTATTGCACTTGCGCCGCTCCATTTTCCAACGTGTCTGGCTGAAGACCTGGACTTCAAATTGATTGTTTGAACTCTGAATTTATTCTGTTTTTCTGTACCCTGTTCATACATTTTCTAGGCCAAGGCCAGGGGGTCGTAACATAAAGGGTACTTAAGTTTAAGACCATACTTAAGTAGGACCTAAGTACAGTATTAAACTTAAGACCATAACTAGAAGCGTGCTAAGATTTGACAATCTAAGTGGGGTGGGGGCAGTTTTATTGATCACTGATTCCGTATCTCTCTCAACATGGCATACATGTAAATTGTAAATTTCATTATGGGATACGTTTGAAATATTACTGGGACCTCGGTTATATACACTAATCATTATAAGTAAATTGTACACAGTAATAAATCAAGGATTTGTATGTTCACTGTGAAAATATGAGATGAAATAGGTTTTAAAAAACAGAACAATTGTTGATGAGTAAGAGAATAATGACAAGAAAACTAATAAAGAGTGTCTGTAAATTAGATTAAATGTAGAACGCAACAAGCGCGGATTCAGACGGGGTTCACCACCGTTCAAGGGAGAGAGAGAGAGAGAGAGAGATGTTAATAACTTGGAGACATACGAAAAATTATCCTCTGAAAACAGTTCTTTTCCATCCTCATGATCCTTGCATGATTAAATTGTAAATAAGTATTTCATAAAATGTCTGCAGTCTTTGCTTGCTGACATGGGCTGATACATCGGGGGGGGGGGGGGGGGGGGGGAGAGAGAGAGAGAGAATTCAAAATGTTTTGTACTTTTTTGTAGAGTTTCAATATTTCAAGTACATACACATTCGGTTATCGTGCCATGTCTGCGAGAATGACAAATTAAGCAAGTGAACATTTGTCAAAACGAAAAAGTAACAAACGGTAAACTGAAAACATCGCAGTCTCAAGTGATAAATAATAGTCACACATTTACAATGAACCACTAATTGCACTTTGTGATCGTGCAGTATTTGTTTTTACATATTCAGAATAATTTTAACAGTTCTCATCATATATTTAATACGAAATCTATTCTAACATTACTAAAACCGATAGGTAAGCACGCCAACTTTAATATAATATATAATTAAAAACGTAACTGAATCATTTTCTAACAATATATCTAAATAAAGTGAAAAACTAGGGTGATCATAAGAAATATTTTGAACATAAGTTTGACTTAGCTAAGACCTAGCTAAGTTCGTTTTATTTACGGTTTAAGACATACTTAAGTAGTACTTAGGTAGGTCTTAAGAATGCGCGTAAAACGTAGTTATGACCCTTCTTAAGTCAAAAACTTAGCAAGCTTTATGTTACCAGCCCCTGGTTTCAAAAATGCAAGGATTTTAAAAATTAAAAAAAAAAAAGAGAAAAAACATCGAAATCACACAGAAAAATAGGACATGCATCATTTATTAAGATAAAAACGTAATTTTTACCTGAAAATGATAAAGAAAATTCAGATATAGTTCAGATTAAATCCTGTTCGCCTGTGTGAAAATTCAATCTGGAAACCACTTCTACACCAGCGCAATTTGGCCAACCATCATCGATGTTTATTCTGTACTC